GGATTCTAGCGTCCTACTGTGCCTCTCATTGGTCTCATGCCAGCTTCAGTACCTGGGCTGTGCTTGAGCACGGATGCAGCGCTGGGCACGGACTATCGTCGGGACAGGATCACAAGTCGGGAGTTACTTTCTGCTTTTTCAGTGTACAGCTTTGCCCTGGGTGTTTTCTCCTGTGTTAGGATCCAAGCGCTTAAACTCTGGTTAGCGAAAGTGTTCAGTTGTTGTCTTGGTTTTGTTTGTGGATGTGGGTGGCAGATGTTTCAAATATCACCGTATCAATCTGCAAATAACAGGCTCACGCAGGTGACCTGACGGGCTCGCCTGGCGCTTTGGGCTCCAGCTGTTCTGTATGGGGGGCTGGGGCTCAAGTCAGTAGCCACCAGTCTGCACTGCTGCTCACATAGGTCTCCAGTGGGCCCCCCTCTGTCCTGGCGAACTGCCCAGCCCCCTCGCCATGCAGTGCTGGCTCTCCGATGTCCCTGATATTGATGGGCCCCTGATGCAACACCTTTAGGGGAGTTCAGCGCATGGCACCTGTGCCTCCCTTTTGTGGGTTGTACTTGCCCCCATGTTTTTTCTACCCTGTTCTGTTAGAACAGGTTCTGTACACACCATTGATCCTGGTGTGTACTGTGGTTGTTGGTTTATCTTTCAGGGATTATTTACTTTGTTCTGCTGCCATTTAGTTGAGTACCTGGAGGAGGTGAGCACAGCATCTTCGCTTTGCTGGAATCTTTCTGGGCTCCTCCTCAGAGTGTTTTCTTTTGGAAATTAGCAGTCCTTTATTTAAAAAAAAACAAAACCCGTATCATACTTGATGCCTGGGGCCCCTTTATCTGCACAAGATATTCAAGCCACTTTCTTTTATTTCTGGAGGCCCCACTGGGATGAGAATCTCAGGTCATGTTAAGTGCGAGTTCACAAAGAAGGAAGGAAGCACTGTGGACTGTGGGTGAGTGGGTGGTGGATGTCCCGTGGTGGGGGAATCCAAATATTGCTGCAATTAAAATAATTAATTAAACAAACATAAGTGTGACTCCAGTGCAGGTGGCACACACTGGGCATTTTATGGCGCCCTCAAAGTTCCTGGCGCCTCACCAGGAAGGATACACCTTTCTGCCCATTACCACCCACATAGACCCTCCCTGCTTGGCTCCACGCAAGCTGCTCTGGGTGGGGCTCAGTCCACGTGCTCTTCCTGGCTACTGCCGCCACCACCTGCCACATCGCTGGGGTTGCCCGGAGCTTCAGGCACTTCAGGAAGCCTTGTCCCATTGCCAGCCCTGCCTGTCTGCTTCTAGATCAGTAGGCCTGGCCTCCAGGCCTGTTGCGAAGGTGATGGTGGGGGCAGAGGTCCATTGGAGCCAGGCACACCAGGGCCTTCGTGCTCCTTTCTGCAGGCCTGTGACCTCAACCCCATGGGAGATGGGGCCAACCCTCAGGTGATCTCCCTATCCTGGGGAGCCTTTGGAGGCTACCCTGATGCTGCTGGCTTGCTCTCTGGAATCCCAATGTCTCCCTGTCTTTTGAGGGGCTACCCCTTCCCGTTCCACGGTCCAGGAGGCACCAAGAAAGCACCAGGTAGGTCATCCCACTCTGGTGCACAGACCGAGTGATGTGCCTGACATCTGCATCCCGATTGTCCATAGAGAAACATGGTAGACGGAAAAGTAACTGTAATATTTGGACGAAGTGAACTGACACACTGCTGGGTGCAATGTGTAGAGGTGGCTGAACTGACCTCCTTCAGGGGAGGGGATGGGCTTCAAGGGATTTCTAAATTGGATCTTGAGGAATGAATAGGAATGTGTGGTGGCAGCCAAGAGGTACTTAGAACACAGACCAGGGCCCTTTGTCTGTGCTATTATCTCTATGATTATAAATTTCTGGGGGCAGATGATCTGAGACTGCTCTGAGGGAGGATGGTGCTGATATTTGTGATGACTAAGATGTTGGGGGCCCTCAGTTGGTGTCTCCAAAGCACATATTCTCAGCACACTGGGACTTTGGGGTTTTCTTCTTACCATAAGTGGACAGAGCCACTGGAGATGGGTGGAGGCCCTCTCAGTAGTTCTTAGGCTGCCAGTCTGAGCACCCCAGGGCTGAGGGCAGGGAGGGGAGGTAGGGATGTGTGTGTTGGAGAGACTTCCTGGGTCATCAAAGCAAGAGCGAGGGAGGCAGTGGCCCTGGGTGGGGGCCTTAAAGAATACACATATGTGAGGGTATAATCAGACAGAGATTGGGGCAGAGATGACATCAGAGCTCAGAGAAGAAGGGGGTGTGCTCAGTTAGGTCCAACACTATTACAGAGCTGGCTTCAAAGGGACAGAGGAAAGAGAGTAAAGGCTTTGGCTGAGGAGTGGTGGCCAGCGGTCATCTGGGACTGACTAGCTCGCCTGCCCAGGGGCCACCTCCCTCTGGGAAGTAAAGTCACCAGAAGTCCTCTACTTTGTGAGATGCCCCAAGTGCCTGGCCGACCTCTCTGGCCACTTCCACACATGTTCAGCTGGAAACTTGGGTGGCTCAGGCTGGCCTCAGTGATAGTGAGCCTGGCCGCCCCTTCCTCTGGTCATCGTGGAGTTATCCCTGCTCTAGAAGCAGCCACTCACACCCCGCCTGCAGTTCCCCTTAGCCTTGGCGGGCATTGGGGGGGGGGTGCTCAATGCCAAAGGGGGCTGAGGGTAACTCCTTCTAGAACTAGGACGCAGGGACAGGGTTCTTGTTCCAGAAGGCTCTCTGGGGGTGTCTCCCTGCACCCAGCAGGCTGGGCTCTGTGAGAGGCTGGCCTGCCTCCACCACGGGCGCCCCCTGTGAGCGCGTTGTTGAGCACCCACTGGAATCCGCGTCTGCTACCTTCTTTGTTCCCTCCAGCAGTGGCATCTGATACCTGCCCACCTGGCCCACTGTCATCATGTCACCTCCCCCAGCCCAGGCCCAGTGTCTTCTGCAGGAGAAAAAACCATGGTCTGACTGGAGAAGGGAACAGGCCTCTCGGGAGGGTAGCTGCAGCTTGGGGCAGCGCACTGAGTAGGGTCAGTCTGGGGTTGCTCATCTGGCCCCTCTGCCGTGTGCTTGGATGAGTTTGCTGGCTCACTGTTCGCTTGCTGGCTCGCTCGTGTGCTTACCCCATCTGGACAGCAGCAGGTGGGGGCGGTGTGGGTCCCTCCTGCTCCAAGGACGAGTGTGCCCTGGGCCTTGCCCTGTGTGTGTCTTACCCACCATGCCTCGAGCCCCCATGAATGTGCAATCTGGCTCTTTGGAAGTTCCAGTTGAGGGTCAGGCTTGTGGGGTGCTGTGAGACCAGACTGGGGCACAGGGGAGCCTGGCTCACCCCCTGGAGGCTGGTGGAGCTGTGGGAAGGGAGGTGAGGACTGAGTGAGGATGAGATGGCAGTGGCCATGGCCAAGGGTCACTTTCAGGCCTCACAGCTGCCTTGTGAACCTTTCCTGCTACGTGAGGTGGCTGGGGAAACGGAGGACTGGAGAGCACCCCTCTTTGCAGGTAGGAGGCAACAGAGCAAGATTAGAACCCAGATCCTCATGGAGCCTCTGGCTTTCGCTGACCTCACTGTCTCCCTGGTGAGTGTCAGGGTAAAAAAAAAAAATCAATCTTTCTTCACATCTTTTTCAGTAAAAAGGATATTTTGAGGTCATGGTTCATGCACATAGTTAGGAAATCAAACGGAATGGGGGTGTGGAGTGGGCAGCACACCCCTCCACCTCTCATCCCCCACAGGCAGCCCTGCCCCAGCCTTGGGCTGGCTGAAAAAGAGGCAGCTCTAAGTCTGTTCATTAATCATAATGACCTGGGTTTTTAAGAAAACGTTCACTCAGATTTACTGTAATATTTATATTCTTCTCATGGTACATTTTTACTGTTTTATCTCAAAAAACGATCATAGCAATAAAGTGCTTCTTATGGGAGGTGCTGCTTCGTGCCTCCACAGCCCGGGTTTGGGCAGCACCTGAGTTTCTCAGACTGTTGGGACAGCAGGAAGAGGTTGTGCGCTCACGGGGTCCTGGCCTGGTCATCCTCTGGGGGAGAGCGGAAGGCAGAGGGGGGCTCGAGGGGCCGCAGCCCATTCACTCTGCATGTGTTCAGCTGACTTGGACCCTGGACCTGCCCGTCCCCTTCCATGACACTGTCCGTTCCAGCCTATTCCATATGTCATCAATTGGAAACCAAATCAAATCAACAGTGGTGACAAGTTGAACACTATGGGGGACCTTCTGGTGGTCTCCAGGCGGGCCCAGTCTCTAGGCCCCTCGCCAACTCCTTGGCTTCCTCTTGAGTGTTTGTGGGTTACTTGTGAGGCCTCTCTGGATGGCCTCACAAAAGTAACTCACTTCCCGGGTTTCTTTGTCTTGAGTCCAGGGTGGAGCTAGTCTACCCCGCTCCCTGCTGTTCTCTCTGAGGCACTATGCTGTGGGCATGTGAATGTCCTTTCTGTGCAGGACAGGACATTCTCTCTGTAGCCTCTGCTGTAATCCTAACAGTGGAGACCGAGGACTGGGGGAGGGACCCTCCCCTCCAGCTGTGCTGCTTAATGCTGTGATGCTTCTCCCCCGTCCACAACCTTCTGTGAGTCCCATGCACCCTCTTCCTCTAGAGCCCAGCCACCTCGCATTGCTCTGGAGAAGACTCTCTGAGGGTCTTGTGGACTTGGCATAGAGCCTTTGGCATACAGAATGCATGTGAGAGGCCCTGGGGCTGACCCTCGGTCCCTCTGACCACAAGGATGCTGAGGTTGGGGCCCTCAGAAGAAGAGCCAGGGCCAGGCAAGCAGCAGGTGCTTCCTGAAGTCCTACAGGGTGTAGCACCAGGTGGGGGTCTGCCAAGCAGTCAGGAAGGGGCCTAGAGGGGCCACCAAGGCCATTGGGGAGGGGTATCCCCTTCTGGCACAGATCTTTGCCACATCACTGGGCTGGGTGTTCACAGGGAAATTCATTGGCTTTCTTTCTCTCTGTCTGTCTGTCTCTGTCTGCCACTTTCCTCTCCAGGGGGGCTTTCTCTGTGGTTCGACGTTGTGTCAAGCTCTGCACGGGCCATGAATACGCAGCCAAGATCATCAACACCAAGAAGCTGTCTGCTAGAGGTAGGGCTGTGGGGGCAGGGCCGGGGCAGGGGCAGAACCCTACTGGACAGTGGAGCTCAGCTGTCCCTGTCTGAGGCCCGTTCAGACACAGATGGAGTGGGATTTGTGCCTTGGTGGGACATGAATGGTGCCTCTAGCAAAATGGGGCCTGGGAGGGAGACAGACTTACACCCTCAGATTCAGGGGTTGCACTTACATGTGGCTTTGGGGCCTCTCAGAGCACCTCTTTGCTTCTTTAAGGCTACAGGGGGATGTACCAAAGGTGACCAGGTCCCGTGGTGGTCACATAATATAGTCTGCCTGTGAACGGAGGGCTGGAAGGGGAACTGGGTGATCTGAAGACTTCAGCTGGCTGGGCAGGGCTGTGTGGGCTCTGGGAAGGGCCCATTTCCTGCTCAGCTATTCCTAGGCTTCTGCACTCTGGGGATGACTCTGCCTGTGCCAGGGAGGGTTTGGCAGGAGGTGAGGGTGGTGCTGGCCTGGAGCTTGTGCTGGGCGTGTTCAAAGCATCTCCCTGGGCCTCTGAAGCCCTTGCTGGGTAATGGCCTGTTCCTGCCAGGCAGAAAGCCCAGCAGTTCCAACAGTGCTCCTTGCGGTGGGTGGAGGCAGGGCATGGGGGGCAGGGGGAGTGGGGAATTGGGGAGATGGGTGATTGACTGACAGGACTATGATAGATATGCTACCTTAAGTAGGTGACACCAGAGCACAGATGTGGGGGCCCAAGGCCAGGATGTGAAAAGGGGCTCTGGCAGGGTCCCGTGGGGGTGTGAAGGGGTGGTCCAGCCAGTACAGTGACAGTCCTTTGGGGCCTCTGGTCCCAGAGTGAGGTGAGGGCTGGGTGGCACCTGGTGGCACTTATGGCCTCCCTAATTAGCATTGGACACAAATCTGAGCTAGATGACAGGCCCTTTGCAGGCCAGAGGCACCTCAGCTGGGCTTTTGAGTGGAGCAGACTGCTAGCTAGTGTTTTTGGTCAAACTGGGTCTGACGGTAGAGCAATAACAATGTCAAAGCTAACACTTAATCGAGCACGTGCTGAATGCACCGAGCCTCCAGAATGCAGAGAAGCATCTGTGTCCTTTGCCACTGGGTGGGCCGCACTGGTAGGGTGCCACTGTTCAGTGTATTTGCTTTGGGGGGATGTATCTGCACATGTGGATCCAGTAGGCAGAAGTAACATGAGGTCTCTTACCACGGGCTTGTGACAGACCGAGGGAGGGAGGATTCACCAGAGAACTGCGAGACCACACTCAGACGTCCCTCAGACTCAGGCAGGAGACCGTCACTCAGCAGGTTCCTTCTCACTCCTACGCTCCAGGGACTGAGGACTTGGTGATGAGCAAACACACCCACACGTGCTCTCCACCCTCCATGTGTGGGGTGGGAACAGGGTGGGAATTGCATGGGCAGGTTGGGTTGGTCTTGAAGGATGAATAGGAGTTTGTGAGTCGCAAGCAAAAAGAACCCCTGGGTATATTTCTGCTGAATCTTGCAGCTCCTCTAAAATAATCTCAGCCCCCAATCTTATCTCACCATGCAGAACATCCTCAAATGTCCAGCTCATCAGGGGCACTGAGAGCAGTGGACGCCTGAAATTCCAGTCATGGCTGAGATTCCCACCTGCTTTTTTTTTGGCCCTTGCTACTCCCTGACACGCAGTCCACTTTCTGCCTCTGAGCCTTTGTTCCCAGGGGGCTCCTCTCAGCACCCCCCTCCTTGCTGGGTTGGGGGAGGGCAGGTCCTCCACCTGCCGCCATCTTCCTGCAGGATGGCTCTCTGGGCCAGGGAAGCTGGGGGACCTGCTCAGCCCACACTCGGGCCTCTATACTGCCCAGTCCTGGGATCACGAGCACTTTCCCTGTTAAAGTCTTGGTTCGGAAAAACTGCAGGCTTTCCCAGATATAAAGAAAGCGGTGGAATGAACTCCTGATGGGTGTTTTCAATACTTATCAACTCGCTGCAAACTTTGTTCCATCTGTGTACCCTCTCCCAACCCACCCCCAACCCTGAGGCAGATCCCAGGCTTCCTGTCATTCAGTCCCTAGTGCTCAGGGTTTCCTCTATTGCAAAAGGATTTTTTAAAAAAAGGATTTATTTATTTATTCATACAAGACCTGGGGTATAGGCCAGAGGTGTGGGCTGGGGCAGAGGGGAAAGGATTCACCAGAGAAAAGGCAGATCAACTGAAGCACACTGCTGAGGGGAGCGGCAGGCGAGACAGGAGAGGTCTGCTGTGCCGTGTGGGTCAGCTCCCCAGCCTGGGATCGAACTTGTGCCTCATAGTGTGCACTTCAACCTGTTGCGCCACCAGGGAGGGCTCGAAGAGACAACCAAGTAGTATTACCGTGCCTGAAAGGAAGCACACTCAGCCCAGGTTCAAGTCTAGCAGTTACTGATTTGACAAGTGGATATCTGACTCCGGGGCTTGAACCCTGCGTCTGGGGCACTCCCCTGAGGCTGTGTGGAAGCAGTCACTGCCATCTTACTCCCTGCCCAGGCAACAGCCCGGTGGTCCTGATGCAGCCACATACTTTGGGAACTACGAGGGCCCCCAGGGAATCCAGAGAGGGAGCCAGCCCCTCAAGGTTGCACCTGGGGCTCTAGGAAGTGACCCAGAGTTGGCCTTGCCTGGATATCTGGGCATCTGTGGCCTTAGGCATTGTTACCACCTCTTTGTTGGGGGGTCCAGTGAGAGCCTGGGAGAGGGTACCTGTAGACTCCTCTTTCATGACAGAGTCCTGTTCACCACCTCTGCTCCAGCTGCCTCTCCCTGAGTAGAGACCTGGAAATCTCCCAGCCTTCCTCACCCCTTGAGAATATTCCCAGCTGAAGAAGCAGTAAGGAGGGGCGAGAGAAGATCTTGGGACCCCTACTTTCACCTCAGTGCTGAGGGCGGGCCAGGCTCAGGGGCTGCACTGGGGATGGTCAGTCTTGTGACTTTGTCTCTTCCCCAGGAAGGGGGGGCTTTGCTCAGGTTACTTAGTCACCCTGTACCTCAGTTTCCCCAGCCATAAAATGGTGTTTGAGGGCTAAAGGAGGTGGGCTCGCCTAGTCCGGCCTGCTCTGGCCTTGCTTCCCCTTTCTGGCCAGGGAGCAGCAGACCCCAGGACCCTTCTCCACAGAGCTGCCCTGGGTCCGCCCGCCCACCTTGGGGGTCGCCCGAGACTCCCATGGTGGCAGTCACCTAGACATCTCCCCTGCTCCTTGGGGGCAATGCAGCTGGTTTGTTTCTGTGCCTTCCCGTCTCCAGCCCAGAGTCTGTGAAAGCACGCTGCAGGGCACCTGCAGGAGCGAGTGAGGCCGCTCTGCATGGCACTGGGCTTACATCTCTGGAAGGAAGAGTAGGGCCCATCTCTGGAAGCAGCACGCCTAGGGGCTGCCTTCCACAAAGCTGGAGGTCCCCCCTGAACCAGCACTGTCTGCCCCCGCCTCTCCCCTTCCTGCCAGCAGCTTTGCTCAGACACTCGCCCTCTTCCCAAGCCAGGGCCTTTCTCTTCGCAAACGTTTTGCTTGAACTTCGTACCTGCGTCGCTCCTGTGGGTGACGCGTCCTGCGGTGGGCCTCCCGAGCCTCCAGTGTGAGCCAGCGTGGGGCTGCAGCACCTTGCTTTGATGTTACAGCTGATGGCTCCCAGCAGACGACCAGGCCCACATGGACAGGTTTTGCTTCATTACCACTATTTCTCCACACCTGGCACAGGCCTGGCAGGCCAGCAGCGCTTCATAACGCTCTGAGTGAATTAAACAAATGCTCCGAGTGGATGGATCTGGAACTAGAGATGCACAGCTGTACCGTCTGTGTGGCTAGGGCGAGGACTGAGCGGGTGTCTGAGAAGAGCGTCACTCAGGGGCAGGTTGTGAGGTCACTGGAGCATTTGGGAGGCCCAAGTTTCCTGAGTAGGAGGCAGGGAGGGGCGGCTCGGACCTTGTTGCTTGGGGTCCTGGTGAGCGCCCCTGTCCCTCACTCTTCAGCACAGACATGCTTTGAAGAGCCGATGTCCTGAGCCAAGGCTCACAGACGCCACTCGCCACTCGCTGAAGGCTCACAGACGCCACTCGCCACTCGCTGCCACGGTGCCTGTGCAACACCAGCTCCCTCCCCAGCCAGCCTGTCATTTTCGAGCCACAACTGCCCCTGGCTTTTCTGGGCAGCAAGGCTGGACAGAGGCCTAGATGGAGAGCAGCGCTGTGGAGGACGACAGCAGAGGATGGGCCCTACTCTTCCTTCCAGAGATGTAAGCCCAGGGCGATGCAGAGGGGCCTCACTCGCTCCTGCAGGGTGCCCTGCAGCTTTGCTTGAGGAGACCGCCTTGGTCTTTGGGGCCCTCGATGATAAAGAGGTGGCAGGAGGAGGACACTGGTGGTGGACACAGAAAAAGCATCCATAACTGACAGCCGTGGGCCTCCAGGACACAGCAGAACCGCACCCAGCTTGTGCCAAAGGCTGCTGAAGTTAGATTTTAAATTTTAATACTTAATTAAATAGAGGATTGTGAGACATTCAGAGTCTGGGCTGAATAATTAGAGATTATTAAACTACTGTTAACAAAGGCAGTTAGAGGGGAATTAATTGACTGGGGTGGTAAGGAGACGATTAGGCACACAAGTCTTAAAACATTCCTTGAATTGTGGCCCCCCTCCCCCCCCCCCCCCCCCCCCATTCCCCACTGCCAACACCAAATGGCTGTTCTCTGGGCAGTTTGGTCACCTTTGAGGGCATCTGTAGAGGAGAGCTGGGCTGGAAGCGCAGATCCATGTAGCTTCTCGGTGAGCCCCTTCTGGCGGGTGCCTGGTTTCCAAGAGGAACCCTGTTGCCACAGAGCAGACTAGAGTGGCCCCACACCGCCGCTTAGCACAGGCAAACCCAGCTTCCTCCCAGCTGGAAGGACTGAGGGCTGAGCAGGCCTGAGGCTCAACTGTGGGCCTACTGCACAGGTAGCCTGAACGTACAGGGGCACCCGCCCCCCTCACAGGTGTAGGTGAGGTGACCCGGGGCTCCAG